ACACGTGAATATGTAAACTGTAGTAATAGAGAGGATACAATTTCGGGAACGATAACAATTCCCGTTGTAAAACCTTAACCCTAATCCTAAACCGTAACCTTAAAACGAACCCAAATCTTCCTGGAAATTAGCGCAATGCCACCGTGTTTTTTCGAGCAAATAAGTGGGTCGTAACATGGATATCGCTGTCAGTAGGAGCTTTGTGGGGTGATCTGCGAAACACAATGAACAGCGGATTAAATGGTCAACGTACTGTTTTAACATAGTCCTGGCCCGCTCGATCGCAGCTTTGAACGCCTTCACATCTTGTTCCGTCTAAAAAGGAACGGTGCAACAGCAACCGTAATAAGCAAACAAGTAGCATATGCGAGATGGCAAAAGCGATACGGAAAATATAACAACCAAATGGCAGATCCATGTGCCGATTTGTTTTTGCGAAGATTAACGGTCTATGTAAGAAGGTCCTATCTAAATTGTGTTTTAAGGTGGCCTTAAATAGATGCTGACCTGCTGCTATAATAACCTTGCTGGCAGTCAGATTAAGGTTCTTGAATGATGCATGTTGGTAAGTTGGCGCCTGAGGCGTAAAGCGTGTTTCCACCAGCATATGCCCGAAGATTCGCTTCTACACCGAGCCAAAAAATACCATGGGTCAGATTGACCTAAGGCCTGGGCGACTAAAATACGGCTGCTAGGCAAATGCCCTCTTGGGTTCATATAGCAGAACTGAGACGACAGGACCAGGCTCATTATCCTACCCGGAAGAATCCTGCCACCAACTCCGTAAAATGACGGAAAGGGCAGCTATCGCAGGCACTTCCATGAAGTTCCACTGCCCCCCTCCCTCTTTTCAGGCTCTGCAGTGGCGTGCGACCCTCGGGAAAAAATTACCGATGCAGTACTGTGGATATACAGCACCATCCCAAATGAAATGCACATCCCTGGAACCCACACTGGCGCCCTGGTTCAAAGGGGTGGTGGAAGGAGCATGAATGCCGAAGTACAGAACAATCGCACGCACATTAGTAGGAGCGATTGCTGGAACATGATCTTAATTCCATTTTCGGTTTTGGATGTGTGCGCAAACCCAGTAGCTGGAACACCAATAAACAAATGCAGTTGAACCCCGAGGTCGCAGATTCACCCGACGCAGTTGTTGCGCAAACACAGAGGCATTACTAGTAAACTTAGCAGCTCCCAAGTCCGTAGTCCCGTAGTTGACGAAATAGCGGCTTGGTCACCGAAATTAGCCGGTAATGCACAAAATCTCAATACCGGTGTCAGTGCTTGACATGATGACGACTAGGTAATTCAGCTGCCTAGTACTTAGTCCGGGAGGAGACAGCTAACTTGTAACAGCAGTGAGACGACGATAAGCATTTACACCATAAGACAGGCTGAAAATTGATTGAAGCCTGGGCCTCCGATGAGAATTCAGTCAATCGATCTGGCAGCAGTTTAAAGATCCCTAGGCAGTCAACTATGGACTGGCGTCAGTGATGTTTGATTGGCTCCTGTCCCGTGGCTTTTGCTTGTTTTTGTCGCTGCTCTTATCACTGACAATGAGCTACAGTAAGAGTTCGAAAGCTCAGACGAACAAAGCCATAAATTCGGCTAGCGACGATCGTTCTCCTTCTTTAATTATACACACCCCTCGAGTCGAGCTGGTCAGGCCTGATCACAATCATGTAGAAGCACTCGCATATTATACTGATTACAGCTCCGACCATACCTGATCCGGCCGGTCTCCATGATGGCACGGGTTGTATAACTCAAAGCGTGACGATCCACA